AAAATTCATCGGAATCCTGTTTTCTGATTGGTTGCAGAGCGTCCTACGACGAAAATCGGATTTGTTCCATGATAGGTATCCAGGGCCCGGAGGTAATTGAAGAACGCTGACATTATCGACAATTGATATAAATTTGCTATTATTAACATAAATATTTAGCTAATACATTATTAAATTCATGATATTTTATTACATAAATGCTCCATAAATAAATATACATACTTGTAAAGCTATAATATCCTTTATAATGCCGAAAAGTTACAATTTTTTCTCTGCAGTAATCATCTCTGTTGATAATCAAACTTTGATGATAACACTGAAATCACAATTTTACAGAAAAATCGAGTATTATTGAATTTTAAACGCATGTACACCGATAAATACGTCTACTAAACTAATAAATCATAAAATTAGTACAATATTACCAGTTTTTTTACTCATAGGCCGGTATTCATAGTCGATTCTTATTTCAAGATCGTCTTAAGTAATGTCTTAATACGCTAATGTGGCTCTCTTATTGGTTCGTAACACCTCAAGGCTGAACTTGAGATGATCTTGAATATAAGAACTGACTATGAATACCGGCCTTAATCACTTCAATATTAACAAGGACGCGAACTCCCGTAAGGCCGGAATCAGACTACCCATTGAAGATTGAGATTGAAGATTGAAAGATTGAAATTTGACCAATCAAAACAATAGGAGCTAAAATTCCTTTGTCCTCAGTGGTAAAATTTTAATTTTCAATCTTCAATCTCAATCTTTAATGCGTAGTCTGATTCCGACCTAAGGATGTCAATCTTTACTAGTATCTCGTCGATGACAGTGCTCTCAGACTTCTCTTGACTTCTCTCTCATAAAAGTTTGATTCAATTATAAATAGACTGAAATAAACATTGTAAGTAATAAGTGAAGATAAGGGAGCTAATTACATGAAGTACTAAAAAAAGTTTTGAGAAATGTTTAAAAATATCGGTAATTATACAGAATACCTCTCCCACCACCGATTTCGATAAAATTAGGCTCATTCGACACGTTTTTGCATGAAACGAAAGAATCTGGCAAAAAAAAAAGCGCCGCTCTGCCCCGCGAACCGAGATATTTAGCGTTAAAGTTGACTATTCGGGTTAGGAAATTGTCACAGCTCTACAATCGCCGTGTCTTCTACATGCATTTCTATGTCATGCGCATGCGTCTCGTTACTTGTCGGTCCAAGAGGCACCAAGGCTGCGTTCCGTTTTACGCATGATGCGCATAATGCATCATTTATCCTTGTTTAACGTTCGATGAATAACAAGAATAAAAGATGCATCATGCATGAAACGCAACAATGTTTTTGTTGTCGAACGTGAAATCGTATATCACGCACGATGTTGGGCTTACTTCAATTTGGTCACCTTACATATGATCA